TTGAAATGAGAGTGTGGTGCGCCTATGTACGTATTGTATGATGATCGCAAGCTTTTGTTCATGATTGACAGTATTGTATGTAACTCAGTAGTGTTTTGTGCTTTTAGACTTTTCCATCTTAATTGCCAGATGAGTAATGTGTTATGATAGCGACTTTGTCTTTCCATTCTGTTCCCACGCTGTTAGACTTTTGTTCAGATTAACGATAGGAGTTTGATTAATAGATTGTTTATCCATTGATTAGTAGTGACCGCTTGCAATGCTTTAACCGAGAGACGCATCCCTGGTAATCACGTGATCATGCTGTTGACTGCAGCGATTGGCATGGTTACACCGCCGCGCTCTGTTGACCAACTGGGTCAGCTGGTTACTAGTGAATGGCTGTGTTATATCTGTCATCATTTAGGCTCATGCGAGGTCCTGGACGCAACTTGACTCAGTGATTTGGAACTAATTACGATATAACCGTCGCCATCCGGACTACTATTTCTGACAGTTGGTATTTGCAGTTATTAATATAGCGGACGATTAATCAAAAAATATGACGTGTTCAGTACTTAGTGTGATTGGCTATGTGCAAGTTGAATGTGTGAAGGTTACGCCTTATGTCTTTAAACTTCTTTGTAATTAGTTAAGTTTTGATACGTAATAAACGGTCTAAGTTCTTGGTCCTAGAGAGAGCTCCACGAGGTGAGAGAGTCTTGGTCAGTCCTGGGCAGACAGTCTCCGATGAGGCAGTTCCCTTGAGGGGTTCTCGATATGGCTAAAGACTAGCTATTGCAACATATTTCGTTGTGTGCGTCTATTTGACTGTAAAGCTTAAGTGACTTTCCCGGTTTAGTACCTCAAGCAGACGTGTATAGAGTCAAGACAATTTTCCCCATGACATGAGTTTGAAAATGGTCGTGTCACATGAAACTGAAATGTTATGAACACTAGCGTTGTGTTCATGGGACTGTGACTCGCTTAGCTGATAACACTTACACATAGAGATACTATCACGGCCCTAAGGAATACGCATTATTACATATAGCCCACCTTTATTCGTCGAAACGATCAGCTGAGGTAACCCCTCACTGCCCACCATATACCTTAAAATTGCTAATGTCTATGCCTAAACATGCAAGTTGTTGATTGTAAACTTTAGTGCAACGGCGTGTGAACCACATATACGTACATGATGTCGCTATGATATCAGAACACTTAAGGGCTAAGATTTTAGCTGATTTAGGCTTATCTCACATATTTGCATTTCGGCTAGACCGAATTGCGTCCACGCACTGGGAAGGCAAGTCCTTATAGCACGGGCTAAGAGGCGCCATCAGTCGGTGACCTTTGTTAAGCCACTGTTTAGGAAAAAAACCTTGTAATTCAGCTTGCATATCCTGGTAAGCATTTTTTCTGTTCCTCGGCGAGCGAGGAATCCAACTGTCTTAAGATTTCGCTGTCTTTCCATATACTCAGTAAAGCCTTTGCGTCGCCTGGGACTCAATTCCCATGCGTGCGCAGGTTAAGACCCTCCCACTTTAATTAAACACCAGTACTCGGGATTCATCTATACGTATAGATAATTAGAAACGATAGTACGCATGCGCCCCGGATTTAGCCATACGTGCAGATTCACTCACAAATAATTCGTAACGCTAGTAAGCATGCGCCAGAGTTACCTCCACGTACAGATAACTCGAAACACCAAAGTACATTGCTTTTATCTAATAAAACAAAATAAATATTCACAGATCATACTTTTCGACTTGAAATTTGTGAACAATATGATTTAAAATTACATTGTAAAAGTAAAGTGAATATATTAATTTGTTTTTTAAAAAGGTAATATTATAATGTGTAGTTTTGGCTAGCATTATGTAATTTACGCGCGTTTTATACGTCATTATATGACCCATACCGAACACTATAACAACCGCCTTTTCACAAAAAAACGTAGATAGTGTTACCTCTTTTTGGCATGGCACTGTACGACGTAAACCCCCGACTCTCTCAAGTGACCCGATACCACAGCACAAACACGTGTAGGCCATAAATTAGAAGCTTGACAATTAAAATGATTTCGATGTAATGACTTGAAAAGTATATAAACGTGTGTGTATATTGCGATCAGAAGCACCGAATTGATTGTAGTGATGTATTTTATTGTTTTCAACCCGCCTCACATAAGTAATGACTCTGTTCTTTGTATCCCAGTTGAGTCGAAGCATATACGAAAGGCATAATTTTTGTTATTTGATTCGTCAAAAAAATACAACAAACAAGCTACTTTAAGATTGTTCGTACTGTCAGGTTGGGTGGCCCTGCTACTTTGGAAACAATTTTGCATCGACTCTCCGTGTGTATGTACAATCTCTGTTCTTTAAACTACTCTTGTGACTAAAAGCCTCCGTATTTTTTGTTGTTCTTCGTAGAATTCGCCTATATAATTCCCATGATGAGTGCAAATGTACATGTATGCTCAAATTTAAAATAGATTTGTTTGCAAAACTCGGGAATCGATCGCATTTTATTTAGATCAGTCAAGTCGAGAAGGAGGTCGCTGACTGGGCTAAGCTATGTTATGTACATCCGGGTATTTTGCCACTCGGCATTCTATCAATAATCTACACAAAACTGTTATATAACGCACATAGAGACTAAATGTAAATGACATGATATAGATAAAACAAACAAAGAGCATGTGGTTCGAGATCGTATCAATAACGTGTACTTTACAATTATGAGTGTTCTAAATAAGAACATGAATAAATGAGTAATATACTTTTGTGTGTGTATGTGTGTGTGTGCGTGGCGTTTAAGTGAGAGAACTCTTTTTCCCACGAAGTGTATGACCAGTGACCCTTGGGCGATTCTAAGCCAGAAACACCTCGGTGTTGTGGGTTCTCTGTTACATAATAGTTACCATATGCCAGACATTGTCCACTGGCAAATTAAAGCATCCCACTGACTGGTTCGTATAACGCCAGCTGTGTTCTAGAAGATATTCGTTAAATTCCGGAAATTAAATTCGCCCATCTGCTGACACAATCTATTCGTTATCTGATTGGTTAACACACAGAGTCTGCGTTTGTCATGCACCAATGAGCGCCTGCTTACGTCTCAAGTCCATTGTTATTCAAAGTACAACTGGTTGCATATAAAACCTCGTGTTCGTTGATCGTTGATTTCAAATCGTCTACTCCTTGTCTGGTTCTTAACGTGTTCTCATCGCAACCATGAAGGTCTGTGTAGTTTTACTTCTATTTGCCGTTATCGGCGCCGCGGTGGCTGAAGGTGTTGGCAAGGAAGAAAAGAAAACTAGGGTATGTGACGTAGTTGAAATAACTTGTATATGTTCGTACCATATCGATTTGATGTCTTTCATTGCATGTAGTAATTTTTGATTACTTTCTGTGCATTTCGTAATAAACGTTCATTATGTACGTTTCACCAACAGATCGACAAACCTGTGGACAAGCCGTCGTCACGCGTGTCTTCCGAACAGAAGTCTGACCTGGTAAATCGCAGAAAGGAACATTTGAAGACTCTGCCTGCAGGTAAAAGCAGTGCCCAGCTGGTAAGCGAGAAGAAACAATTGATGAGAAACGAGAAGGAAAGGATGGCGGAAATAAAAGCATCTAGGCTCTCGCCAGAAGAGAAATCCTTGAAATTGGAAAGCCTAAGGAACGAATACAGAAGCGAAATAACTGCTCTATCGAAGGAGGCTAAAACCGCCGCCAGGCTTGAAGACGGGCGTCGACGCACATTCCAACAGGAGAAAGAAGCACGTAAATCTGGAAAGAGAAGCAAACCAGCACACCCTAAATTAGGTATACCGAAAGAGAAAATTCACTGAAAATATCGTATATAATTGAATGTATTTTTCACTATAATTTACATATATTTAATTTATAATTGTATTTTTTTTTATTGACGTGTTTATTTCAAATTTTCAAATAAATTATTGCAATAATTAAGTGTTGTACATCATGATGATTACTAGATTGGGGGGGGGTCTCGTTCGATTCGAAAGCGGCGAGTCAACAATCGAATACAGATTGCCCATACTTGTATTCATACTGTCGGGTGATAGTTTAACTGCACTCTGGTTCAGATAGTTGACAAGCAATGCCTATCTTGGTCATACCTAGACAATCTCCCAACAGACATGGAATCTGAAAAACTAAAACTCACTAGACTGGCAAAGTCGGGAATTCTTTTGTTTTACCAACAAAAATATAATTGTCAATTTAGCCTTTTTAACTCGTGTCCAAAAACTAGCGTGACTGCGAAAGAAATCCCGACTGGACGCATCTGCAGGCGCCCCCTGCGTTTGAAAAAAATTCCAATTGTAATTGTAAATTGTTTTATGCAAAGCAATTCTAAATATTGCTGCCAAACTCTGTGACCACCATGATCAATATAAAGAAATTCAATAAAATAATGTCTAGGCGGTTTAAAACCAAGGCGGAAAATGGAAACTTGACGGGGGGGGGATATTTGTAGTATGATCGCTTTATTCCGTCACAGTAACGATTTTAAAAGAAACTAGTAAACTTGGCATAACGTGATATAATTTAATTTCATATCTCAGAATTGTGTTGGATGATTGCAATAATGTTGTAATACTGCGGAATAATTCGAGTATTCTGAATCTCTCGGATGTTGCTATGAACCTTGGGAAAACTTGAAACAAAATTTCAATTGAAAACCTTGACGTCCCACTATTGTATTGGAAAGTAAATGTCTACAAAAATTAATTGCCAGCACGATCGGTAAGGACATCTAGAATTTTCTACCTGTTTTTCCGACAGGTTCATATTTCCTACATTTGAAGATGGAGTCTAACTTCCTTTTTATTTTAAAACGTTTTGTGGAGGAAAACCAGAGACTCAAATTCGGTCTAACCTAATTGAACTAAGCAGTTGAGTGGTGACGCAATGAAACAACGCTGTAATTAAAAACAAATGGTACCGATTTTTTGCTTAAAACGTTATATTCCGCTTCAAGTCGGTTCAGCTTTTAGTAAATGCGAAGAATATTGTGGCTTAAGATAGAGAACTACCCCTACGAAATTGTTAGGTTTAGAATCACCCGGGGGAAGGTGTGAGCTGTCAAATGTGGTCCATCTTTGAAGTAAAACGTCTTGACGTCTACAACTTAATTACCCATTAAGGGTGTTTTGCTGAAAATAACCATAGAAATCATTAAATACATTGTTCAACCCCCAAAAATTAACGGTATTCAAGCTTTAAAAATGAACAATAATGGTAGGGTTCATGCTGTGTAATTTTTTTTTTTTTAAATTGTTTTTTTATTTGTACAGCAATACTCATTTCACTTGTCACCACTGTTCACTTTCCGGAGTAGTGTTCCACTGGCAATGTGTAAATATGTTCATATCGTGAATAATACGATACAATTTATTTAGATGCAGTTGTTCAAAATAGTTTTCTGATAACGGGTTATCAAGAAAAAAAAGCGTTGGTGGTGCCATAGTCACTATTCTTTTTCGGTATTAAACATAATTTGTACAGGAAACATTTGAAATATAGCTGCAAGCAGTAAAAAAATAGTTTATAACAGTGTGATTTCTCTTACCTGATGAAGTGTTCTCTGGTAGATTGTCATGTGCCATTCAAGCCAATTAAGGATGTAGTGGACTTTCGTGGTGATTTTTTTCTTCATTTTTTTTCTTTTATTAAACGGTGACTTATACTTATAGGCAGCCATACGACCTTGTTTTTTATCAAATCACGTTTTTATTTCAAGAAAAAACGGCTTATTAAAAATAAAAATTAATTTACAAGTAACGGAAATCCCGGGAATGTGCACTTCGGCTAAGCCCCTCTGAGCCTAAACAACAACATTTGTAATTAGCTTAATCCCGCAAATAAGCATCGCGTGTACGCGTCCGGCCAAATGACCGGATGCACTCACTCGTTGCTGATAGTTCATCGCATCGCTTTTCTCTACTATATATTACTGTTCATTTATTTTGTATTTACCAAGTTTATTTTGAAAAATGACACGAGAAAAAAATCGGAAAAAGAGTGTTCCAATGACAAGCGAAATCTCAAGTTTCTAAATAGCAGAAACCTTATTTTTTATTACGCAACACGGTCTTTCTACGAAACAAAGTCGGACGAGTCGACAACAGACAGTTTGAGTGAAAACCCAAGTGACATCTGCTCCAGGGGCGGATTTAGAGAGGGGCAGAGGGGGCCGCGGCCCCCTATTTTTAATCCCCCGCAAGGGCTTATTGCCCCCCTATTCCAGAATCCCAGATCCGCCCCTGTGCTCCACCACACCGGAGACTGAAGACACCACCGTAACCACCTCGAATGCTGATTAGGAAACCACTATACTGTCACTGGAGGCTGACGACACAGCATCAACATACAGGATGAGCATGTAGAAAGGAAAAATATCGCCAGCGACGTCTGCAGTATCTGGTGAAGCGAATAACACGAGGCTTGTCGACCAGGATATATTGATTTTGAATCTGGCTGACCACTGTAAATGTTCTCGGTGTAAAAGGGAAAAATAAATATCCATGAAGAATCTTGTTATGGCTGGGAATCTCCCTTTAGTATCCAGTGCACATGCGGCCTTTCGAACATAACACATGCACGCGGATTGGCTAAGAATATGAGGTAGTCAAAAATAGACTAATCAGGTCCATTGTGTCATGTGGGACGGCAGACTGACTTTCAAATTTGAGTGACGCCTCTGTGGTTCGTGGACAAAGCAGCTTACACGTACATTCTTAGTTATTGGAAATGAAAACTGTTTTGTGCTGGTAATAATTGTATAACAATCGTACTGCAAGTCGACAAAACTAAACTAAACGAAATTCCAATTGTAACGAGTTATAGAGCAAAAACGACGACCTGTAATTCACGATAGTGCTGTCTGCAAGCTTGACTGACTTGCTTCCAAGCGGATTCAGTCAGCAAATAGTAGGCCTATTTTTACTTCAATTACGATTTTTAATTGATAGTCAACAACAAAAGTTTCATCGCCGGTATTTAGTGAAAAAAAGGGTGGCTTTACTGAGTACTAGCATCTCATTATTTTTCGTTCTTCTCTGATGACATTTTCGCTCGGTTCAGGTGCCGTGGCTTACGAGCAAGGACACGACACGACAGTGTTCAAGTTTAACGGCCACATATCACGTTTTGTACAAAAACAATTGTTTGTTGTGATATGGTATAATACTCGAAACTAAGCTTATCAAGCAAATAAACTTAAATTGATAATGTGATTAGACTGTTTATTCAAGGGCGGCCATACTTCGTTTTCACGTTGCTTTTTTCAATTATCGATTTTTCATAACTTTATCGCCCATGTACCAAACGGGTTGTTTTGATTTTTATAAAACCAACACAATAGCTATCTTAAACATCAAAAAATAACTGAATACGATGAGCTGAACAGAAAATGTCCTCTCGACTGTGCTACTTTTGGTTTTTGAGTCTTTTCAGCCATTTGAAACGTAACGTGTCTGAAACCACAAAAATCACGATTACGCAAACAGTTCTTGTCCAATTTCATTGATTTTTCAGAGATTGAACTCAAGATAAATTGAAAACAAAATGTTAAATCTTTTTCAAGTATCAGTAATATTTCATTACTAATTGACCTGTGAAAACAGAGTATTCTAATTTATTACAGAATTTTTCTCCACCACTTTGTAAAAGAACCAAACAATTCAGAAACTATCTCTTTTACATTATTGTTAAGAACATTGTAGTCTTCCTTTTCTCATAAAAATGTGTTGGCTAACTGTTTTCGTTTAGCGTTTTTCAGTAGCAGAACAATCGATTTTGTTTATTTAGCAGTCACGTGACGTAATTAATATTGACATTAGTGTTGTCATAATGTTTGGATAGAGTGTTGCTACAACAACATGTAAAAATTGTTCGTCATTAATCATTATTATAATTTTTATCAAGTTTTTTCTGTTTTGCCCAATGAAAGTCTACTACTCTCACCTATTTCAACGAAATGTCAATTTATTTCCACGCGGCTGTCATTTATTTAGTAACTGTGATTTGTCGTGTTTTTTTTTTTTAATTATTTTATAGTGATCACTATAGTCTAATGTTTAGAATGTCAAAACATGTTCTCTTTTATTTTATTTTAATTTTGAAAGTTTTACTCAGACGATCGATGAAATAAAACAGTGTAGTGACGTGCCGAGTAACCTGCTAAATAACGAGATAATTCCGACGTCAAATTCTATTTTGTCCAGC